AATTATCGAGTTTTTTAAACGGAAATTCCGTCCAAAACCATTTTGTCGAGGTCACATTTGTCTAGACGTCATATTATAATCTTGTAAAAAAAGATAACTTCATAAAAGAAAATCATTATTTGTGTTGTTTCGAAATAATAATATTGTTATCAGAGTTTGTAAAAACATCTGAATTTGAAGTCTTTTTGACAATCATTAAAATTTTTCATTAAATGAGAAGTATTTTTATTTTTTTACTACATTTCTTTTGTCATTTACTCAATAAAAACGATTTTATATTTTGATTTATGTGGCTTTTGATTGGATAAAAGAAAAAAAATCGATAAAAAATGAAATTACCTATCATTTAGGGGAATTTTTTAACGGTCGTTAAAAAGATAAACCAAATTCAGCGTTTTTACAAACCACGATAATCATCTTGTAATTTCAAAACTATAGAAACAAAAAATGTTATTTTTGACAAACCATATAACCGAATTTGTAGTTTACTTAAAATTCAATTGTTTTTTAAATACTTCTAATTGAACATACTCATAACACTAATTTTCAACCTTCTTTTTTGTTCATTTTAAGTTCATAAAAATTTATCGGATTTGAATATGGTGTTATTTTCATTACTAGAAAACAAAGTATCAAAAACTGAAATTTGCGAAAGAAAAACCCCCTGTTGATCAGCGAAAAATCAACGATGGAACTAACAAAAGTCGGTTCCCTTGCAGATTTGTGAGGGATCAACGAGAGAATTGGTTAAAAACCAGTGCCCTTGATAATCCCTCATTGATAGGGAATTGGCCAAAAACCAATTCCGTTGCTAATCCATCGTTGATAGCATTACCTACGAGCTTTTAACCGACGAAAGACCCTTTTAGCGAGGAAATTTTCCCTCGCAGATACTGTTCATTTTTGTATTGTTTCACAATACTATTTCTTATAAAAGTAACACCCGAAGTTTTTAATCTTTTTTTTTTAAATAGGTGTTTACAGAGTAGTAGAAACAATGTTTATTTACAACAATCAGATGAAACAATCATAACTATTAGCATTATATTAAAATCATGTTTGATAAATATAAATTAAATTTTTTTGAGTTTATATCAAAACCCATGTTTGGATGGAAAAAGAATAGTTTATAAATTAAGTTATTGAATCGCTACTTGGTTTAGCGTTTAAATAAGGTCTACAACTTTTTTGTCATATTTTTTTCAATTATACTCTTGATTAATATTTATTATTTTTACTTAATATTAATTCAAATTATTAATTAATTTTAGTTCTAATTACTTTTTTGATCATTTATTTTTTT